AGCGTCCCACGCCTCGCCCGCTGAACTGCGGCGGGACAGCCCCGGAGCGGCCGCCGAAGCGCGGCAGGAGCAGGCTACAGCGAGACAAGAGTGGGCTTGGGCGCTACAAGAGGGACCAGACAAGGGCGAGCCGCAGCGAGACAGGAGCGGGTCGGGGCGAGACAGGAGCGGGTCGAGGCGCGACAGGAGCGGGCCGCGGTGCAACAAGAGCGGGTTTGGGCGCGACAGAGTGGGTCGGAACACGACAGGAGTGGGCCGGGCGTGACAGGGGCGGGCCGGGGCGCGACAGGAGCGGGCCGGGGCGCGACAGGAGCGGGTCGGAACACGACAGGAGCGGGCGTGACAGGAGCGGGCCGGGGCGCGACAGGAGCGGGCCAAGGCGCTCGGCCCGCAGGACGGTTCTGACGTGCCCGCGGCCGTCGCCAGCAGGACTGGAGGCCTGCCTCAGATACGTCTGTGTATGTATTGCAGAACACAGGCCGTGCTCCTAGTTATGCTCTTCCCATTGTTGAGCTATGCCATTTCATTGTTGGTGCGTCATTTGTCATTTGTCGTCATTTGTCGCCCAGCCAACGCATCGATCGCCAACAGCGGCAATGTTTTTAAGGGGCATCGATAGCAAGAAGTGCCCTGGTTTACTCAGCCGTAATTGCTTTGGAAAACATCACCAATAAATCAACTATCCATGGTGACAGCACTGTTGCCCGAAGCGAAGGCGTGGTAACAGTGTGCCACTCGGGCCATCAGTTTGCAATTTTCCCGACGGCCCATCTAAGTAAATACCAACGTCATAGTCATAACCTTTGCTGTTCTTTCACCATGGGGCCAAAACCACGCCTCTGGCGTCGAAGCCGAATTTGAATTCAAGACAATGACATGAAGCCAAAACCATCCAGCGGCACTGAAGCCACCAGCCAGCGGTACTGAAGCCACCAGCCAGTGGCACTGAAGTCGCCAGCCAGCGGTACTGAAGCCTGGAATGCGGAGCCGAAGCCGCCAGTCAGCGCCACTGAGGCCGCCAGCCAGCGGTACTGAAGCCACCAGTCAGCGCACTGAAGCCTGGAACGCAGAGCTGAAGCCACGCCGATCACTTCTAAATTACGATGTCTAGGCCTAGGCGGTATCTACGGTAGTAGAATTAAGGGTACCTCACAATACCCTTGGTTGTAGGATACATAAGTCAGCTGTCGAATTCCAGCTGTCACATTTGCGAAATCGAAACTTCTCCGCATCTGCTAAGACGTATGAGATCAGCAAAACTCGTCAGGGTTTTGCGGCGTGATTGAGACGGCGTTTCGACGGTACGAATAGGAGGTTTTCGGACCATCGTCCTCGCTGTCTGAGTGTATGTGCACAGCGGTTAGGACCGTTCATTCTTCGGGTGTCGCCTGGTGTTCATCGGTGCTGAAAATTGTCGGATGATCGTTGACTTTCAGTTATGTCTGCCTCGCAGCGTCGCAAAGTTGTGTAGTGTATTGGGTTGACAGGACGAACAAGACTGCTTCAGCAAAATGAAGTCGCAACTGCAGTGATAACTCACCATGACAAAGTCGAAGCCAGCACTTCAAGATCGCATGGGGCCGAAGCCGGGGCCATGATTCAAGAATTGTTCAAAGCAGAAGCCGAAACCAACGTCAGCTGTCGAAAAAGAGTTTAAAAGCCGAATTCAAACCCGAAGTCATCAGAGGAAAACCGTGGCTTCGTGGGGCCCAAGCTTAAGCCCAGGCCCAGGCCCAAACCCAAACCCAAACCCAAGCCCAAACCCAAAGCCCGAGCCCGAGCCCGAGCCCGAGCCCGAGCCCGAGCCCGAGCCCGAGCCCGAGCCCGAGCCCGAGCTCGAGCCCGAGTCCGAGTCCGAGTCCGAGTCCGAGCCCGAGCCCGAGCCCGAACCCGAGCCCAAGCCTGAGCCCGAACCCGAGCCCGAGCTCGAAGAGCCCGAGCCCAAGCCTAAGCCCAAGCCCAAACCCAACCCCAAACCAAGGCCGACGCCAGCTTTGTCCCCGTGCCTGTTCTCCTTTACAATATGGCTTCATAACTTTGGTTAATCGCGAGGTGAGTTCATGACTATTTTACTAGAACTGCGCGCCGCTCAGGGCAAGAACATTTGCTCATGACTGTTTGGTACCATCAGAGACCATTATCGAAACTGTGGTTCTGGTGAATGTCTGCGTTGCTACTGTGGCACGTCAGTTTTCTCTCCGCTTCGGCTGCGTTATGACGGCATTGCTTCAAATCAACGCCAGACACGCCCCTACTTTCAACAAGTTCCACGATCAAACGAGAAACAGTTATGCCGCGCGAGAGCGCGCGTCACATCAATCGCTCGCATCATCAGCCATGCCGCTCCTGGTCCATTGCACCAGCATCGGGCTGAGATGGCTTTCGTCCCGGCGCCACATGACCGGGTTGCATCACGCGCCTTGTAAAATTAGGCGAGCGCCGTCGAGAGGCGGCCACTTCTCACGCGCTGGTCGACGCAGGCCCTTTCACCGCGACGGCTGCGGCGGCAGCCCACTGGCTGGGCGACCCGGTGCGGTCGACAACGGGGCGCGACAGCTGCACCAGGCCCGGTCGGAGAGGGTAGGAGGGCCCGACGGCACCGCTGCTCCGGCCGCCGGCGGGACCGGCGAGTCAGCGCCGGCGGCGGCGCCCAGCCTCCGTATCGATTACTGCCCGTCGCCAGACGAACGGCACGAGCGGCCGGCAGCGAGAGGCGGCGGGCGCCCGTCGCACAGCCTTCCGCGTCCCGTCTCCGACCGCGGCGGGCGGAGCGACCGGGAGTGACAGGCGGCCTGCGCCCGCCGCGCAGCCTCCCACCTCCCCTTACCCACCGTGGCGGGCGGAGCGGCCGGCGCCCGCGGCACAGCCTCCCGCCTCCCCGCCTCCCACCGCGGCGGGCGGAGCGACTGGCGCCCGCGGCACAGCCTCCACGCCTCCCGCCTCCCACCTTCCGCCGCGGCGGGCGGAGCGGCCGGCGCCCGCAGCACAGCCTCCCGCCTCCCGTCTTCCATCTCCCGTCGCGGCGGGCAGAGCGGCCAGCGCCCGCGAAACAGCCTCCCCGCCTCCCGCCCCCCACCTCCCGCCGCGGTGGGCCGAGCGCACCTCGGCCAGCGGACCGTGGCATTCCACTGTCGGCTCTGTCAGCTAATTATGTTTGCGGGGCTCATTCCCGACGCGTGTAGCAGCTGCCTCCGATTAGGGTGACGGGCTGATGCAGCGGGCTGCGGCCGAGGTGGAGAGAAAGGGATCGGCCCATTGCATGGACGGACACACCTCGTTGCGAGCTGCACCGAACGGGGGTGCCTTCACGAGACGGAGTCACGCATCCAAACATTCCCCGTACCAGCCGCGGCGGCGTCACCAGCGGCGCACGGGGGGGGGGGGGGGGGCGAACGTCCCCTGGTCGTTTGGGGAAGGCCGCAAACGGATCCGTTGGACCTTATGAGTCCAGAGTCCTTATGCTGACAGTTCTCGACCTTCATCATACCAGGAGGCACTGGTTACACGACCCAGCAGACAGTGGTTTTATTGTCAATACTCGACGTTCCGAGCTATGCCCTGGTCACGAGTGCACGACCATGCGCTCGTCATGCACTCATGACCATGAGCATGTCGACAGGAAGTCCCAGATGACCAAGACGGAGCATTCATTGGTTTGAAAAGAGGTGTTCTGTGGGGACAACCAGTGGCGTGCGCAGAAATTAGAGAAGGGAGAGGGGCACAACCCAAAGACGTTCACTGAAAGCCCAGTTTGGCGTGCCGCAGGCGCGCTGAGTGTCGTGAATGGCATGACACAGCACCACATTTTCTCGATCTGTTTACTTTTGCGTGTCTACTTCGAGCGCGATCTATCTGCATTTGGCCATGCACATGGCGTACGTAATCAATTTAATAAGGCGCACGTGCCCCGGAGGGCCACTATGTGAATACGCCCTCGCACGCAGAAAACAAGAATATGTACTGTATGAGAAGCCATATGCCGGGATCACACCCCTCTTGCTATAGGAGGTTGCCATGATCAACAGGAGGCGAAATCAGACGCATATGTGACCCCATGAAAAACATGAAAGCCTTCTGCAGCCCACGAAGAGGTCGCGATTAGAAAGACCAGGACAACAAATGATATCAATTGTGTGCACCTAAAATGATTATTGAGGAAAACTGGACGAAATCGGAGGGAAAGGGTTTAACAAGGAATGGTACATGAGGCCCCCAAATACGTTCATGACGCACAGGGACCTTTATCTCCTTAGAGAACGTCGGTGATGCGGATCTCTCGCGCTGGTTCGGACGATTGTTTTGGTGCAATTTTATCATCAGGTACTATTGCAGTCTTACAGCGCTTTAAAACATAGGCAATAGTGCATTTGTAAGCACGGTCCATCAAAGACACGTTATATGGCGTCCAGGGCCGGCCATTTAATGTTTATGGCGGGCAGCCCACTATGCAAGAGCCCGTGGCCCGAGTGTGTCCCTGCAGCGTGATCCCTGCCTGCCGACGGCCCGCTGCCCTGCGCCTTTCTGTGCGAGCCTGCGGCCCGGGTGTGGCCCTGCAACGGCACCCCTGTCTGCCGACGGCCCGCTGCCTTGTGCCACTCTGTGCGACCCCGCGGCTCGGGTGTGTCTCTGCAGCGGCACCCCTGACTGCCGACGGCCCGCTGTCCTGTTCCCCTCTGTACGGGCCCGTGGCCCTGGTGTGCCCCTGCAGCGGCACCCCTGCCTGCCGATGACCCGCTGTCCTGTTCCCTTCTGTACGGACCCGTGGCGCCGGTGTGCCCCTGCAGCGGCACCCCTGCCTGTGTCACGCGCCGTGCGACGCAATGCGGCCGCGGGAGAGTCAGCTGAATGAACACTGAAAGGCAACATCGAGGAGTGAAAGAGAGAGTGAGAGAGCGCATGTGCGCCACGAGCACAAAGGGAAGCGACGAGCAAACAAGCACACACACACACACACAAAGGAGAAACGTGCGATCGCTTGGAGGCGGACATCTAAAACTCACCGATGGTTTTGATGATCTCGAAGCTCTCCAGTGAATACTCCTTCTTGCAGTCGTCGCCGTTAATGATAGGTGGCGGCTCCTTGGGCAGGCTGCCCTGCCGCTTTCGCGCGACCTTGCTGGCAGCCATCGCGCGCGGTGGCGAGGTCGGCCCTCCGCCCGGTTCCCCACACTGTCTCGGTCCGCTGACTGTCGCTGCCGGCGCCGCAGCCCGACTCCACGTCCGCCGCCGGACTTTTCACGCGGTCACCAATCGCAGGCCGCCGGTCAGTCACTGCACCGAGAATGCATGGTGACCCGACCAAACCGCCGCACTGGCGCGAAGTAGGTCGAGGTCGTCACCACCGCCTCCGCCGCGCGCTGCTGTGCCGCTGAGGAGTGCAGAGGCCGAGCGCGCGAGCTCCGCCCCCTGGTGCCGTCCGACGCGCCGCTGCGCCCCGACTGAACGTCGCGTCGCCGTCGGTGGCACCTGTTGCAGGCTGTCTTCCCCGTCGCGGCGTGGCCTGGCCGGAGCACGCTGCGCGGTCAGCTGAGCGCGCCGCCGCCGCCGCTGGTCCACCCACCTCCGGAGATAACGCGGCCGTCCAGCGGCCGGCGCCGATTCAGACAACTATCGGCCGCGGCGTGACGTCACCGCGCGCGCGGGTCACGCGCGAGCGGCGGCCGTGCGCCACTGCGTGAAGCGCCGCGCGACTGCGCCCGTGCGCCACAAACGGGACCGGGACCGGCGCGGACCGGACGGGACACGCCGGCACGAACCGGGACGGTACGGGCGTGCCGTCGCGCGCCCGCCGCGTCGGGCCGGTCGGAGATCAGACGCCGCGCCGCCGATGGGCGGGATACGGCGGGGGTCGCGACAGGTTCGATGCCGCCCCGACCACATGGGCGGTCACGTCCGGAGCGGGCCGCTGGAGGTGAACTATCGGGCGGCAGCGGTGTCCGTGGCGTCGGCGATGCGGCCGCACCGGCTGCGTACTGCGCAGCGCCTGCGGACGCGGTCACCGGGGCGTCCTGCGCCGCGCCACGCCGCGCCAGCCCGCCTGATTGAGTCATCAATGTCTTGGAACAGGCAGCCAGAGCCCCGGTCGTCCCAGCAACACAACCCGAGGCGCATACTGATGGGAGGGGGCTATAGCAGGGGTGACCAAATTGGAACACGGAACAGGATTACACTAGAACGCAAGAAATCAACGCGGCTGCAATTAAGTTCACCCGGATATCATGTTGCCGGTAACGGCACACAGCCGGTTTAATATTGGGGAAACGGAGGGCTGGAGGGAATATCCACAATGCATTCGGAGAGACATCACTGATCCTTCCTTTTCTTGGCGTCATTCCTTTCAAGCAACATCATCAACACCATCATTATTCTATATTTCAACGTTATGTAAGGACGTGCTTGGCCGTGGTGGCGCCACGGCTACACGTAATTTGTACGCAATTTTGGTGCCAAAGAGAGGGCAATTTATCTGTACATATATGTACATATATATATATATAGATATATAGATATAGATATAGATATAGATATATATATATATATATATATATATATATACACATGTTGGCACACATACACATGTACATACATGTACATACATATTTGTGCACACAATTATACATATAGTGAAATCTATGTTCGGGGGTGAGGGTGTCATGCCATGCCAAACATACCAGGCCCACCATCAGCCATTGGCCAGGCATTGTATTTGCCCATTGCTCCCAGTGACGTAATGCGTACCTTACACTTAAGGCGGAGGTGAAGTGGAGTGGGGACCGAGGCGTTAGCGAGCAGAAGCAGCGCCTCTTATCCGCAGTTACGCGGCATTGGTATGGTTTCCTATTCAGCTGGGGCACGCCAGCCGACGAATTGCCGACGGCGAAAGGAAACCGGCCCGAATTCGAGGTAAATCCTTTTTCCCTGTAAATCGCGGGTGAGTTTACCCAGTCTCCGGCTGAGGCACCTTCCCCTTCACCCCCCCCCCCCCCCCAACGTGCTTTATGAGACCGCGCCATTGTGACGTGGCGAAGAAGACTTAGTATGATCAATGTGTCCGCGCGTTTGGCCAGCCGTTACGATGTTTATTGCTCATGTGCTTAACCAATATGACAAATGAGCCGAGCGTCTTTTCGCGTAAACGGCGTGCGAACGCTTCACTCGCAATGCTGTCAGAAATGTCATAACAGACTAAGCAGCGTACTGGTGGACGTGGTCCTGCCATTTGTTTCTTTGTTTTTGTTTTTGTTTTGTTTTGTTTTGTTTGATTTTTTTTTGCTGGCTAATGGAGAGCGGAAAGCATTGTGACTGTCCACGGAAGACGACTCACGTCATTAGACGCTGCGTGCGGCGTTAGGCCCGCATCACTGACCTCCAGCGACGGACATGACGCCAGGCCTTGGCCGTATGTGTCGTGTGTTGTCAGCGCCGCGTGGAGCTAGCCGGCACGATATGTCTCCTCCCCTGATCAGCCGACCCGGAGCTGGCGAACGCCGCATGACCCCGGTCCAGGTCACTCCCGCCCCTGATCAGCCCGACCTCTGGAGCCGACGTACCGCAGCGTGACCCCGGTCCAGGTCACTCCCGCCCCTGATCAGCCCGACCTCTGGAGCCGGCGTACCGCCGCATGACCCCGGTCCAGGTCACTCCCGTCCCTGATCAGTCCCGACCTCTGGAGCCGACGTACCGCCGCGTGACCCCGGTCCAGGTCACTCCCGCCCCTGATCAGCCCGACCCCTGGAGCCGGCGTACCGCCGTGTGACCCCGGTCCAGGTCACTCCCGCCCCTGATCAGCCGGCCTGGAGCCGGCGTACCGCCGCGTGACCCCGGTCCAGGTCACCGGCCCTGGCGGAGGCGGGCAGTTGCTATGCAAGGTGGGAGCACCGGGAGCACAAGGCATATTCCCTTAGGCATTTTTGCGCGTATATCAATATACGTGTGAATGCTGAGTTACAGAACAGAAGTAAGCAAAAAAAAAACTCGCGATGTTATTTCAAGCCATGCAAGAAATTGATTATTGCAAATGCAAAATTGCCAAATGTGTGCATGCAAATATGCATGCACAAATATGCAAAATACATGCAAATAATTATGAAATTAAGAGTGCGTCGCCGGCACACTCAGTTTTTTTTCGCTGAGCATTTTTGAGTTCTGCCCTCCGACTTCGAAATTGTGCACACGCCCCTTGGGCGTGGATGCCGCTAGCTCCCGCTGACCACTCTCGGCGCTCCCCCCCCCCCCCCCCCGCCCTCCTCCCCTCGCACATAGCCTCCCCCGAGGCGCAGTGTTGGCAGCTGCGTTCCTTAATGACCTTGGTAGCGCGATGTTATGTGAACTCTATTTATCCATGACCCTCCGGCAGGGGGGCAGCCTGTCTGCTGTGATCATTCATGTACTTCCTGCGGTGAGGTCAACCGTGTACTGTGATCATCCACGAACGCTCAACAGCGAGAACAGGACGCTCTAACGCTATGATCACGACTTTTCCGCCCCTTAAGCATTTTGCCACGATACGAAACGAGACCGTGTGTTTGGCAGGTTCCAAAGACCCGAATCACTTTGGCAAGATGCCATCGAAGACCGAAAAGTTTACAAGACTATGCAATCAAAGGGTTTTTTATAATCCCCCCATTGTGCACCGAAGCGCTGACACCACCCATGACATCTCCCAGATGTGTTTTGTATTTCCATGTCGTACATCCCAAAGACACAACGGATACAGTACATCCCAAAGCACAGCATAGATCACCACACACTATGATCACAAATATAAAATGGCATATGCCCGCGATATGTGGCACGTGAAAGCATCAGGAACAGCACGAGCCGTTCAGACAATGCACACTGAACAAATCTGAACTACAGTTCCATTAAAAGTATTAAGTCCCTGCCATACGTATCCAAAAACAACTTGGATATCGTTCATTTGGAACACGTCATGCAGCACTTTGTAAGTGACCGATGTCATTTATTCGCCGGAACATCTGGCTTACGAAGGCCTCGCTGCGGCGGTCTGCTCCCAGCGGTGCACCACCGGCATACACTAAAATTCTCAGGATGTAATCAAAACGCTCACCATCCACGTAAGTGAATACATGCTGGCAGCATGTCAAGCCGCGCTGCCATTAAGGCCTTCGTCAATGGAAGACGCTGAAGGAAACATATCCACGGTGGTTGATTAGCATGCCTCCATTGAAGTGTTGCCAATTGATACGTACCCATCTCACTGCAACACTGTGGCGTAGGAATAATTTGTACAGATTGCATCCTTCAGTGATGAAGCGAACCATATCGGCCGATTGCCACTGTCACCATTCCCATGACACGTCCGTGGTCGGAGCACTGAACACAGCCCGTCACTTTCAAGCCAGACCTCCAGGCCAGCGGCGTCTCCCAGACGCACAGCGGCGCTCGCCCGGCCTCCGCAGTCTTCCTCGGTGGGGGGGGGGGGGGGGGGGGGGGCAGGTGGCCCGCGGCCGCGGCAGCCTCCTCAGGACCATGTGTCCCTTCCAACCCAGCCGGGGACGGGGCGGTCGGGTGGCCCACGGCGGCCTCCTCACGACGAGGCGCACCGGAAGCCCAGGTTGCCGGCCGAGCTGTCGGGCGTGTTCTGGCTGCGCGCCGCGCACCGGTACCGGTAGCAGTAGTCGCGGTGGCACATGTACGAGCCGCCCTTCTTCACGCGGTCCGTGCCGGACTTGGGGCCCGTCTGCCGGGCGAGGGGCGCTGCCATCAGTGGGCGGTGCCCAGCCGGACATCGGGTAGCGGGCGCAACCGTACTGCCACCCTGATCGATGACCCCCAGCAGGCCCTAATGGCTCTGTTGTCGACGCTCGTCCACCTACGACGTAGCTGATTACATGGCAAGATGTCATGCAATGGCTCGCAGAATAACCCTGACAATCGTGCTGTATTCCCCTATAGTGTGCGCAGTTTACTCGACTGGCATAACTACAACGCGGGTGACAACCGTGATCAGCGACAATTATTGAGCACCAGAGCTAGACGCCTGGTCGTGATTGCTGGGTGTACTGTACCGGGTTTGTAGTGGGCTGCCGGGTGTGCTCCGGCTGGGTGTACTGTACCGGGTTTGTGGTGGGCTGCCGGGTGTGCTCCGTCGTCCACCAGTCGGCCGTCCACTCCCACACGTTGCCGACCATGTTGTGCAAGCCGTAGCCGTTGGTCGGGAAGGCCGAGGTGGGCGCCGTCCCTATGTAGCCATCCTCGCCGGTGTCCTTCGAGGGAAACACACCCTGCCAGGTGTTCATTCTGAAAGCAACACAACCACCGATGTAAATATCACAAGATGGGCTATGCTACTCCATTAAAACATTTCAACACTTTAAACTGCGCAAAATCCACGAAGTGTGAAAACATTCACTGAGCTTTATCCTGGTGATAGCATTAGCGCAGCCATTAACACGACGAAATACACGATATATGAAATGTGAACAAATATGTGTTCTTATATCACTGTTCACACCGCCCTAACAATTAGCCCTTGCAGACTCCACATACATTTTGCCACCTGGAAAAAATTACAACGAAGCTCAAGATTATTGTCCCGCAGCAAATGATTGGTTCAGAATCAGACCTTGCCCTACTCCTGGTTCGTGCCTCGTTACCCATGCCGCTGCTTCTCCGACGTGACTGAATAATTCTGGTCATTCGATCGTGCTTTCCTCTTGTGACATACTCGGTCACAGCAAGAACCAAGTGCTGGTCCAGTGATCATACTCGGCCCTCCTCCCTTCGTGTGACTGGCCTTTGCTGGTCCAGCGATCTACCTTGTTGCCCCCCCCCCCCCCCTCTCGCCTTCTCCCTCTGCGTGACTGGCCTTTGCTGGTCCACCGATCTCCCTTGTTGCACCATCCTCCTGGCTCCGCGCGACCAGTCTGTGCCGGTCCAGTGACCGCCCCTCGCGCCTCGCCTCCAGCCCGGCCCACTGACCTGTGCTGGTCCAGTGACCCCTCCTCGTGTCCCCGCCTCCAGCCCGGCCCACTGACCTGTGCTGGTCCAGTGACCCCTCCCCGTGTCCCCGCCTCCAGCCCGGCCCACTGACCTGTGCTGGTCCAGTGACCCCTCTTCGTGTCCCCGCCTCCAGCCCGGCCCGCTGACCTGTGCTGGTCCAGTGACCCCTTCCCGTGTCCCCGCCTCCAGCCCGGCCCACTGACCTGTGCTGGTCCAGTGATCCCTCCCCGTGTCCTCGCCTCCAGCCCGGCCCACTGACCTGTGCTGGTCCAGTGACCCCTCCCCGTGTCCTCGCCTCCAGCCCGGCCCACTGACCTGTGCTGGTCCAGTGACCCCTCCTCGTGTCCCCCCTCCAGCCCGGCCCGCTGACCTGTGCTGGCCGTGCGGCCGCTCCTTGTTGCCCCACGGGCAGCAGGCGGCCGGCCAGACCGCCGCGGCAGGCCAGCTCCCACTCGGCCTCGGTCGGCAGCCGGCCGCCCAGCCAGCGGCAGTAGGCGTGCGCGTCGTTCCACGACACGTGCACCACCGGATGCTCCTGCCGCGCTGCCGGCGACGGCCGAGCGCCGGGTCACGGACGCGGACGCGCAGCCGGCGCCAATGTCAACAAGAGGCGCACCACGCCACTCGCAGGTGGGACGTCGTGATCCGCCTCTTCGATTGAGGACAGATGGGTCTATAAATGGCCTGGCGGCGGCTTTCATCGAGGCCAAGCGAGAGGTTCGAGGCCAAGCGAAGCGTTCTCTCTGCATATATGGCGTAGACAAGTGAGACGCATGGCATACACAACATAACTCTAGTGATCAAATGCTGCTGCACCACCAGCGGTCAGACGCCGCCGGAATTATTCGACGAGTGCACGGTCCACAAATACAATGCCATCTCACTGATGCATGAACCGTTCAGAACATTGAAACTCGCATGCTAAAAACGGTTTCCGGTGACCATACCAACAACCATGCCACTGGCAACCAAGAACCCCCAGCTTTACCATTGGCACCAACGCACCGAGGGGTGAGGCTAACACTTGTGGGTCCGCGCCTCTCCAACCACTGAGGCCGGTCAGCGTGCCCGACGCGGGGCCCACCGAGACCCACCGTCCGTGTCGGAGCCGGGCCCCTCGGGTTGCCGCCAGGTGGCGCCGGGCACCGGCAGCCACCAGGGCGCGCTGGCCACGGCCTGCTCGATGGTCCGCTTCACCTCCTCCGTCAGCAGGCTCTCCGGCATGAAGGACGTGCCGAACTTCTCCGCCTGGCCCGGCAGGACAGCGCGTCTCATGAGGATGGCTGCTTGCCGGGGAGGGGGGGGGGGGGGGAAGGTCGTATGCACGTGCGAGGTGAGGTGGCACACCATGACACCCGTCACAGTGGTCGGCAGCGTTTGCCTGCCACTGACAACAATAAGTCAATGAAATTGGTACTGCTCGACAGTAAAGTGACAGCGAAGGTGAGGTATTTATCAACGCGTTTAAGGGCTCACCGCCTGCCGAGGTCATTTTGCGCCTAGACGGCAAAGGTTGTGGCAATCATTTTGCTAGCCGCGCAGTGACAAGCCAGGCACACACTGTTCGCTTCCGGCGTCACACTGTCGCTCGGCGCAGCCGCCGCCAGTCACACGCGGCACGCAGCGGGCGGACGCAGAGCCCCGCCTATCATCATGATGACAGCCCGCCACCGGGGCCGGGGCGGGAGCCGGCGGGCCGCCAGCCGCCCGACTCACCTCCGTCACGTATCCGGTGGCGGCCACGAAGCGCGCGAACTCGCCGTTGCTGACCTCGCGCTGCTGCAGCCGGAAGGCGGCGAGGGTGACGTTCCTGGCCGGGCCCTCGCCGTCCGCCGGGAAGTGCGGCTGGTCCGTGCCCATGGTGAACGTGCCGCCTGGGATGGACAGCAACGGGTTGTCGTCGGCGCAACCGTCCCGCGTGCATGTGCCGTCCACGTCGGCCGCCGCCGGACACGTCACCAGCAGCGCCCACAGACCGATGGCTGCTGACATGCCAGGCATGGCTGGAGACTGGGAGCCTGCGGCAGGCGTGCAGCGATGACCCTCTGCCCTCTGGGGATGTGGAAGGTTGCATGCTGGGTGAAATATTTATGTGGAAAATATCTGGGAATATGTGAAACATGCTACACAATGAGGCCTGACAAGTTCTGGAGAACCAAAACAGGGGGGGGGGGGATGTGGCTGGGAGCTGAAAAAGACATTATATAACTTACTGGTTACAATGACACATAGCATAAGTGAGCACAAGCTGTGAACAACTCTCAAGACAAAGACACTATTTTAATTGATCACCGGGAGACTGTGTAACCTTGAAAAGGAGGAAACATAATAGTTTTCCTTCTCCATCATTTTTTAACGAAAAAGTTGTACAATATGTGAGCAACAAATTGGAAAAGGTTTGTGATATGGTTGTAAATTGCTTATTAGCACTTTACTGTCTAGGGCACCAGTGAAAGAGTGGGCAATAATCAAGATATTCTCCTCATACAGACATTATAATGGGCCTAAACCAGGAATGCATTGAAAGGCAGTCACCCCCTGTACCTTTGATGAGCTTGCATTAATATATTTTATATGGTTTTAAGACAACATGCCTACTTGATCCCTTTTGAGGTACACTTAGAATGTGGCCCTCATTATTACTCTCGCCTTCTCACCTCCCTTTTGACCTCCCCTTTGGCGTTCAAGAAATTATGTGCATGCATTTGTTCTCAAACAAAATGGTTGCTTTTGAGAACATGATTATTACACCATTAACTGCCAGATACCTACACTTATACTTAATATTTTAGATAAATGCAGCAAATGCTAAGGAATATATCAATGACCAATACTATCTATGAAAAATGGCACCTATTAATTTAGCAGCACAAACAACTTCTACCTAACAGAACAGTCACCCCCATAAACCTGAAACAGGAATCAGCAAACTTTTCCCATCATTAATTCACCTTGATCTATAGTCATACCCAATGTACTCAACATTGATGTTGAGTGACTTAATGACTTAATAATCTGACAATGATTATTAAGTCATTAATAGCACAATGGCTTCATAATCTGCACAAATAAAGTCATGTTAAAATTTCAGTGCATTTGGCACATCAAGCATGCCTTTTGAAGGAGGATGCATCCATAACCCAGAATATTGACTGATTCATACAAACATGGAACACATGCATGCCAGGAGAGGTAAGCAGCAGGATCCGCATGACCATTGACTCTAACAGCAGCATCATATTGCATATTGCACCCACCACACATCAAAGCTTTAAGGCCACAGTAGATGCAACAGGACAGCCACTAATGCGTGCCACAAATAGGACGTGGCTAGGCAGTCCGCAAGCCATGACAGGTTTTAATAAGATCCTGTTAGGGTGGAGGCTGGGCACAATGGTCAATTTGGACGCAATTTCTTGGCATTTATAAGTTACATGCAGTTATGGGGGAATCATAAGTGTCCTGACATGCAATGCCGGAAACATAACAATAAAATGACAAAAAGGCCCGCAGCTGTTTGACATTAACAGCATCCACCCACCCACACCACGCCCCGCTCAATGACCTACGTCCAATTGGAGATCACGGTGTCTTTCGCCAAATCCTGAGCCCCGTTTTCCCGACACCACCGCAACCTCCAATGCAACAAGATGACAAGGCAACTCTACCCCAGGCCGGCGCGCGTTTTTGCGGGCCAATGCAAGGCCTCTGTTCCCTTCGACGGATCTTGTTCTCTTCGACGGCCCTTACGCGGCCTTGGGCCTGGTCACTTACGAAGGGGGACGATTTACTTCCAGCCAGGGCCCAGATGGAGCCAAGGTCCAGGCAGGGCCTTGGCAGGAATGGGGGTGGGGGGCAAGCGTCATGATGCTTACCAAGGCTGGGAAGCTATGTGTTCATTGGCTGCGCGGTTCAGCCACTGACGTCATGATTGCTCAGACGAGTTCGTATGGTTCCCCCATGTTGCACATATAAGAAAATTCGGGAAACGGGATATCGCCGGCTCTGGTCTGGCCCTTGGAAGTCTGATTCATCGGCGGGGTGGGGTGAGGGGCAGGCGTTACAATTAGGATGCATACTGTGTGTGGAAGAGGCCTTCACGATCCGGGTAAACCCATGCGTACCCACAGAGAAAAGATAATGGTCTGGATTGGGTACAGATTTGGGGGAAATTGCGGGTCCACAAATATATGGGGGAGAGGTTCACAAAATGTCGGGTAGAAATATGGAGAACTGCTCCATGACTGTTCATCAAGTTACAACCTGATGATTAAAGGATAACGGGTGGGTGTAGGCACTACCCAATGGGTAGCCGGTGAACTGAGAAAAGGAAGCTGCATCTGTGAAAGGACAGCTGCACGGACTGGCAGTCCTTATGGGCTGAGCATGGGCTAGCTGGGCTTATGGCCATGAAGGTTGCAAGTGTGCTGGTATTTGGGCTTCATCTGGAAGTCACATGCGCTGCCCATACGCTAACATATTTGCCACAGGTGCATTAGGCTTGCTGGTTTTTGCCCCCACGTTGGATTTTGCTACTTGGTCTCAAGAGACGCTTTGCCCCTCTTCAGTCCCCCTCAGCGCCGCTCCTGGCCGACCCGGGGCCACTTGCCGCCACGCCGACCCCGTCCCTGACCGACACAAGGGCCTTTCATTATGTCAGGGACCCAGAGAACTGCAAATCGCGGGCCCCGGCCTCGTTTCTCATTGGGGAAGTGGTTCCGAGGGCTCAGACGAACATGGAGCCAACTGCTTGGTTCCGTGTCGAGGCCTTATATAAAAGTGATAGAGAACCATGATAAGAAGTCCCTTATAGAAGCCGTCTCACAGACATTTCACGTCACGGCGCCTACGCCTGGAGGCTGGGTCCGAACCTAATCCGCCCCTTTATCTTTGATCCCAAGGTGCCCTCCGGTCCCTCTTCGGCCTCCTCAAACAAAGCCCGTGGCCGGCTGTGGGCCACTAGCCGGCACATGGCGCCCGTCATCCACTGTGGGCTCCTGACCGGCAAACGAGCCCCGACTACCGTTTCAGGGACGCAGACTGATGCAAACCGTGGTCCACGGCCTTACTCCTGCCTGGGAAATGGGTCCCAAGGTTCAGACTAACAGAGAGCCAACTGTTCGGTGTTCGTGGTCTCTGGCCGACTTAGACAACCACATCGTCTTAGAGCGTCTCCGCCTTTTTATGATCTACAGCCAGTCCCTCGCCCCTCATGCCACTGCAACCGGACCTTTAATGGTCAGTTCCGTTGGGCCGCCCGGGCCCCTCTTCGGGCCTCATCAAACATCATCGTCATCATCATCATCAGTGGTTTTTAGTCGGCTCGGGGCCTTTTGCGGGCACAGAAGCCTCCGTTATAGGCGCTGTGGGCCCCTGACGGATACAGGGACCCGGGCCAGTGTAAATCACTGGCCCGGGCTTTGTAGCTGATTGGGAAGTGGGCCCCCAGGCCCACACCGACACGGGGCTGACTATGCTGTATTCGTGGTGCCTGACCGACATCTAGGCCATTATCGAGTCAGAGAGTTCCCGATCGGTGCAAAGGGCACCTGACTGTCATTTTGAGCGCCCGACCCCACATGCTTGGGCCCCTGAATAAGACCCTGACCAACCCTTCGTGCCCTTAGACCCTCCAATCGAGCCCTTGATCGTCGGATCCGTTGGGCCCTCTTGGCTCTTTGGACCCCTCCGAATACTGCCCTGGCCGACTCAGACCCCTTTCCAGCAAAGCGTCCCCGTTAGTTACTGTGGGACCGGACCCGCGTAAGTCGCTGGCTCCGGTTTTGTCCCCGCTTTGGTAATGGGCCCTCAGGCCCACGCTACCACGGAGCGGACTGTGCGTTACTGGTGGTGTCTGACATCTTGGCCCTTATCGACTCAGGGACCTCGGTCAGAGCGCATGGACCTCTTTCTGGCATTTGAGTGCTCGGCCTTGTCCCCCCTGAATCCGATCTCCGGCCTGACCTTTCGGGCTGTCAAATCGGGCCATTCATCGTAGGTGCCGAGAGGCCCTTTGGGTCCCTCAGAACCAAACGGAGGCACGTTCCCTGCGCCCCTCTTCTGCCTGCGCCACTGATCCTGTGTTAAAACTCCAGTAACAATCGGATTCAGCTGTTGGCTAGGAATGTTTCCTTTCTCGATCTTGCCAAGGGTCCTTCTTTGATCTACGATTGTCAAACTATAGAGGAACTCGTGGGAAACCATTGTTCATAGATTCTGATAAGAAGAGTACTTGACAAGAACTGGAAGAGATCCTTGATCTCACAGGATCTCTTCGCAGAATACCTCAGGCATCGATTTCCTTTTGGGATCGACGAGCACTTTTGAAAATACAGAAATTGCTACGCCCATTGCCTACCGAGAAGTCGATGGCCCACGCCTTTAAGCTTCTTGGTATTAGTTCGGGTTTAGCGCACGTATTCCATATGAAGCCGGGGAAGAGCTCTGAGAATATAACGCACGAGTCGATTTTTTTTATATTTCAGGTAGTAAAACACGCAGGCAAGGCACTATCACGTAGGTACACACGTTGTTATAGGGCCTTGGGTACACACAGCAATGAGTTCAAATCTTGCTGATGCGGCCTTGCATTCTAATGAATTCAGACTGAAATTCCATTCATCACTGTCGGACATTTCAGCATTGTCTTGGAACATTTAAAGGCAACCGAAATGCCAAAAGGAGCCAATTTTGGTGGTGTAACATGACTGCTGCAAATCCACATTTTTGTGTTGTGTTAATTTCAGATTATCAGGTTACAAGCTGCGCGGACCCGTCATGACGCCACGGGTATGCTGACGTGAACGGGCCTGACGCTTCGGGCTCGTTATCGCAGAACCTAAAATGCGTCGCCGAGGTCTGCTGGCGGTGATGCACCCTGCGCCGGACCCAGAGTCCGCCGGCGGCAGCGATCATACGCCGCTGCGGATCCATCCGTTGTTCCGCAGCGCTGCGGGGGGCGGCGGCGCCCCCTATACTCGGCCGGCCTCCGCTGGGAAGGGGGCGCCCGATCCAAGTCTCACCGCCGGCGAAAAGGCCGAGTTGTTGGCTCGTGTGGGAGGAGTGCGGACGTCGCCGCCGTCCATCATTCGCCAGATGCTGCCACGACCCACCAGAGCCTGTAGCACCGACCTGAGTCAGTCGCTGACTGTACTTGAGATCGGCCCTCGCCGCGCACCGCGAGAGGACGCCACAGTCAACGTAATGTCGCCGGCGCTGCCTCCAACAACCCACAGGACCCCACAGATATCAAACGTTGCCACGCATGTGACGCCACCATCGCGCCGCCAGGTGTCGCAGCCGCAGCTGGCGGCTGCAGGAACTCAGCGCTCTTACTCGACGAGTCGAAAAGCATTGCCCACGTTGCGACCACGGCCACCGCCCGCCCCTACCGCTACTCGAGCTTTCTCAAGCGTCCGCACACCCGCCATGCCCCGCGGACTCGGACGGCGCGCGGTCCTGGATGGCGCCACCGCCACCGGACAGATGGCGCGCTCGCTGGCCAGCGTGGCGCGCCAGATCGCGGGCTGGACGCGTGGCGCGCGGCGCACCGGGATGGCGCCGCAGGGCACGGCCGCACTGTCCACCGACAGCCCATGGCCCGGCTTCGACTCGCCGGGCCCTACCGCGCCGTACGGAGGCGAGCGGCCGGCGCTGCCTGCTAGTGACCGGCCGACCCCGTCCGGACTTCTGACCCCGCTGCGGCACTCCAGCCTGGACGTGTACCTGGCCAGTCCGCCACCGTAAATCGCACCAGCTGGACGACAGGTGACGATGCTGGCAGTGGTACATTCTGAACCGGCTACAGAGGCACTTGTCGATCCGTGAGCGTGCAAATGCGATTGTTGAAAATCATGCTAGTGGCCATGCACGGCATATTTCCAAGCTTGTCCAGGCCACGGCGCTGAACAGCTGGCATTGCAGCTAGCCTCCTAAGGGAAACAACACAGCTGGGTGTGGATGCGGCCTACCCGTCCGGTTGACGGCTCCGAGCTGGCCCGCTACTGCAGCGGATCACGGCTGGCCTGGAGAAGCCGGGCTTTCACCGATAGGTCAGCTCCACAAAGCTAAGAAGCAACGCAGCAGAGTCCACAATAAGCCATGAGCAGGGCTCATGGTTTATTGTGAACCCTGCTCCTATCGCCATTGCGCTTATGATTACTACACCCGCTTCCTCTTTCAATGTTGGGCCGCTGACGCTTTAGACAGAAATTCCGTGAGTGGATCTTGCGATCCATTCTGAGAGGACGCGTGTGACTTGAAACTAATCTTTCGTCCCTCAAGCCTTATAATTTGTCTCGGGAAGTGATCGCTTGCGAAGACATACACCCTTGTTTACCATTTTAAGTATGTTTGGCTGTTAAGCGGCGTGCAGCACCTGCTGTTGAATTGGTAAAAGGAAAAAATGGCCCTGCCGACTGCCACAGGAACTGCGTCGAGGGAGTCTGATGGCGGTAAGAGGCCCCAGGCCACGTGCCACCGTGTCCCACGTTGGCTGTGCGTGTCACGGTCGCCATGTGCGGTGGTCATTATGGCTGACAGGCGTGGCGGTGGGGCTGACGAGCGGTGACGCCGCCGGCCGGTGCGCCACCGACAGCCGCTGTCACTATCCGGGAGGCCGTCCCATGACTCATGAGGCCGCCAGCCGCCGCCCGCCAGAGCAGTCTGGCGCCGGAGGCCGGGTCCGCCGCCGTGTCTGGTGACCTCGACAGAGTCCGCTGCCGTGTCTGGGGACCTCGTCAGAGCCTGCCGCCGTGTCTGCTGGCCTCGGCAGAGCCTGCCGCCGTGTCTGGTGACCCCGTCAGCGCCCGCTGCCGCGCTTGGAGATCCCGCCAGCGCCCGCTGCTAGCTGACCGACCCCTTGCTGGCCGGGGGCGCTGCTGGCTGACCGACACGTGGCTGCCATGGCTGGCCCGTTCGCCGTCAGGCTGCTGCTGGCCCTGCTCATCCTGCTGGCTGTCTGCGCCCAGGCGGAGCCGCGCGCTCAAAGGTCCTTTCGCCGCCACACCACGTTGACTCGGCTGGAGGAAACGCTGAAGGACCTGTAAGAGGGTTTGGGGGCCAGGAGGGTTTCCGAACCATAGTGGGCCGTTCGATATTCAGGAGGGCAGGAGACACATAAACACCGTTTTCATCCCGAACAGTTTAAGGATGCGGATTAAATTATGAATTTGCCGGTTGGCCGACACTGGGTGTAACGTGCATTTGATAATCATTAACTCCTCACCGCGTTGCGGGGTTTCCGAGCTGCCTTTGGCTCGACCACTAAGGTTTCTTAGTGACGCATTCAGCCTCCAATATGAGGAAAGGTATGTCGTCCGGTGCCCAACGGAAAGTCAAATTCATTGCCGAATTTTCTCCTGAAACGAATGTCTGTCTTGAAAATTGCAAAGTTTGAGTAGCAAATTTGTAGCGTATGGATTGATAATATCTTATTTTTTTAACACGGAAGATACGGTCGATTCGTTGTGCTGCCTAAACACACAAAATACTCGCCCATAACCTGGGTAGCACCAGCAGGCGTTATACAAATATGGCGACGAAACAAGTAAGCCACTGGCGCAAAATCTTCTAGCCATTGTAATATATTTATCGACATTTAAAACGCTACGCTCCTGTTCTTTTCTCCAAGGTTTGGAGCATTTTGTATTGGCATACAAATATTTCATCTGATAATACTAGTGTGACAGGATCTCGTAGCCCTTTTCACGCTGGCGTCTACTGACTGATACATAATTTGGTCCCGCCTAATTCTAAAGCCACCTAATTATGCAATGCAAGGAACATAGGAGGATAAACAGGGAGCGAAACACATTGTCATTCATCAGATCCATCAAAAGAGCCAGGGCTATGCATTGCGTATTTTGGTCGTGATGGGACCGAATCATACAGTACCGTAATTGTGAAATGGAGGATATGTATATGTTGACGAAACAAAACTGGCTCCGAAGCAATGATTTACAGTTACTTCGATACAGGTTATAATAAAGTATGGGGTTTGCTCCTGCCTATCCAATTTTCCGTGCATTTCAGATTTGGTACCAAATTAGGTCCCTGACTACTAACCCTTGCGTGAGAAGCGCTACTATGAGTCAAAATGCGGAAGCAGGGACCAGGTGAGGATCTCACGCGATAGGTATGCACCAACGTACGAGTCTTGAACATGACTGTGACGGCGTGGGCACCAAATGGGCGCACCCATGCACTGGTCCCATATCAGCAACCGGTCGGAGAGGTAGACGCCTTCCTTCGAGAAATCAGTCACGCTCACGCATATGACGGCAGCCGAACTGTTGTGCCCTCAGGCAAGCGAAATACGCCAAGATGATAGTGGAACAGAAGAAAGTGGAAAAAATCGTAGAAAAAGTGGCGAACGTGACAACAGACGGTGAGGATCATCACAACAGAATAACAGAGCGTATGCAGTGTGACAATCTGATGCAATAGGATAGCGTCATGATCTCAGCCCTGGCGTCACAACGCCATTTTGTCCATGTATGTCATTGCGGCCGCTCGGGGTCAATTTCAACTCCACTCGTTTCAAATGATCTGCCGCAAAAGCCGCGCGGCGATGAGCGCTGGAGCACCGTTGTGTGTTTTGTCGAATCTGCGAAGTCTGTGCGATGTTCTGTGCATGCCACCCCAGCTGGGGTCTGTGGTGCCGAGTTGGACCGATACCACGAAGCGGGCCTCTGAGTGATGTTTTGTGCCCCGCGTCACAATTGCAATAGCCGCGCTGATTTGCCAGCCAAGGCACTCCGGAGTGGACGGCCGCCTGCGTGCACGACACGTCGCCGTCCCAATAACATGTTGAGTCGCGCAATCCGGAGTGGATTGCACTTACCGGTCCTCTCATGGCACTCATCACGGCTCCAGCGACTTGTCGAGCCGGGTGCTCAGGAGTACACGGCCGTCTGCGTGCACATGTCGCGGTCCCAGTAACATGCCGAGTCGTGTCGCTCGGGGTGCATTACGCTCACCGGCCTTCTCATGACACTTGTCGCGGCTCCAGCGGCGTGTCGAGCCGGATACTCCGGAGTGGGCCACAAGCTCTGTCTGTCGACCGTGTCTTCGGTCCCGCTGGCCCGGCAGCGGGCAGCTGCCAGCTGCAAGGACAAACACGGCCGGCTGCTGCAGCTGGAGACCAGCCGCAAGTTCCAGATGGTCAAGCTGCTGCTGATGGACGGTGAGCTGCGCCTGCTGGCCGCATAGCAGCCGGTGCAGGCCTAGCAGGGGACACCGTTCGTCTTAAGTGGGCCAGGAAACCGATCCCATGACGTCATCTACACAACTAACATGATAGAAAGTCAGGTAGAACGGTTTCTCAACAACTGAACGCGTTGTGCCTCCCTGGAGTATTATGCTGAAGTATGGGTTCATCGTTTTTTTACGGCGGAACCTGAAGTACAAGTTTTGGCGCAAGAGAGCTATGCTATTACGAATACAGTCCGTTATCAGGGAGAGCGAGCGGTTTAAAACGTTGCGTTTTTTTCTATGTTCGCTAATCTGACGTGTGGGTAAACATGACATCTACCACGTGAACAAATGCGCGTAGACGACCAAATGCAGACGTTTTCTGCGCGTTGCGCCACCTGGACGGTGGTGTGTTGCATGTGACGTCACCAGGACGGCGTTGTGCTGCGTGTGACGTCACCCGAACGGTGGTGTGTTGCAGACCGGCCGCTGTGGGTGGGCGCCACCTACCGGGCGTCTCCCAAGGCAGACTTCTTCTGGGACGCCGGCGGCACCCGGGTGCAGGTCAAGGTCGAGGGGCGGGCCGACGACGGCGCCACCTGTGTGGTGCTGACACTGTTCCGGTCCCCTGGCCACCTGGCCGCCCTCGACTGCCGATTTCCCCGCTACTTCGTGTGCGAGCAGGCCGACTGAACGCGGCGGCGTCGAAACGGGAGTGGCCTGCGAGTCTAGACATGCATGTTCCAGGCTGCATTTTGGGTGACTTCTACTGGTAGTGACTGCATGGAATTGGAGAGTGCGGGGGGAATCGGAGGATTCGCATAGGAGCGTTCATTTGGCATGCACGGGTTTAGTGGGATGTGTTGTATGAGTGAACTGCGGACACCTAACCACATATCGCGTTCGTCGCAGACTTCTACGAAGCTCATTTTACACTTTCACAGCATTCGGCGACGTGGCACTAGGCACGTGGCAAACCTATACTATCGCCTGTATTATCCAAGATGGGAGAGTAAAATGAAGCTGCCAATCAGACAGTGAGGCGCCATTTGCATGCGTCAGGTATAATAGATAGCCAATCTAAGGTTTCGACATGCGGGTTGGAAATGTATAGACAGATTACTTAGGAGCTAGAGGATTAACAGTTTTTTGTAGCCTACGGGCCCCAACCATACCGGGAACCACAACCATTATTGCCATTGGAGCTTGAAACTGACTGGAGTCGAGTGGGTGGACCTAGGAAGCTATGATTCGTCAGTTGCGGAACACACTGCAGGCATCGACTGGTTTGTGAACTGCGGTAGTTCCATTGCACCTCTATTCCCGTTCCACTGCACCTCTATCTCCGAAGCATAGCCACTACCCGGGTCCCTAATAAGCCTCCCAGTCGTCGGGGACAGGACAATGCCCTGGTCTCGCTTTGCTGGAGTGCTGCGCCGGAACTGATGACAATGCAATGCATGTACCGCATGTTGGGACGCTAAAACCGACAATACACCAGCCGCGCTGCTGAACTGCCTGTAGCCAAAAGCCATCGGACTATGACTCAGCTTTGCTCCCCGTGTCCTAGCGCCAAATAGCTGACGCAAAATTCCAGCGACCTGGCATTGATGACTGTTCAGTGATACATCAACACAGCCCGTCTTAGAGATGAGTAAAACTAGAGCACAGATTTCGTCCAGCAGTAGATTCATTTCGTGCCACACTCTCCTTTCCAAAGACGGGGCACCTTGCGCAGACAGAGCTGGCCTATACGCTGGCGCCTGCACAGCCACACGTGTCGCCCGCGGTGATGTCCTGCTGCACGTGCTGATGCTCTACTGGCACCCGCGCATCGTCTGCAGAGCTCAGCAGCGGCGCCGAGCTGCTGGCCGCCCCACAAACACAGCCGCCGTGGTGGCGGTGGTAACGCAAATGGGTCGCGGGCACCAACAATGCATCCACGCTGTAATCTCGCCGTAAAAACGCTATCAGTTCACAAACACCATCGTCACGCGTCTTGCAGCAAAGTTCTCGACAAAAGTTCTCAATTTATTTCAGGATCACGTACCTATGGCACCAATCTCGTCACCTACAGTATGCTATCGAATATGAATTATGACGATGGGCCACAGGCACCCACCGATGAGCAGTAGTCTGCGGTGCCAATGGCACACGTATTCCAGTGAGCCTCCACGAGTCGTCTACAGGGGAATGAATCTTCAGATTTGCCACATACGATGCATAGCCTTCACCTACATAAATTGGGTACAAACCGACGGCCTGCATTCCCCCATTACACAAGTGTAAGTTCCAAGGCACAGAACTGGGCCAGGACGAGTAAAAGCAATGCATTTGTGTATTTAAACACTCATTGTGACACCCTCCAAGCTCATCGCACACAAGCTGCACTGATGGCATGACATTGTCGAATAGAATATCCAAACATGCATAACGGGGCACAAAAACACAACCATCACTATGGCACCTCCTCCCTCGGATGGCTACACGCCTCACACGGCGCATATCCGTATGCGTGCGGACCAACGCATGCACCAATCACCAGATTACACGCGTATCGCACAACACTCGGTTCACCCAGGAATGCTTCCGTTGCGTGTGAAAACAATAACAAAATACTGTATTGCTTTTGGATGCACGTCACGGGTTTGAGCAAAGACGTCTCAGGCACACTTTCACCCGCTGCTTCCAAGCCCTAGACACTGCGCGCAACAACGGCCTCCCACGAGCCGGCCGCTTCACCCGCACTTCACCGCTCTGGCCAGGCAAAGCGCTGGCAGGAGCCAGCGCGTGCGCTGCGTCAGTCTACCAGAGCCTCCGGCCAGAGCGACTGCAGCGCGCGTGGTCGACCTCAGACGGCGGAGACGGCGGTGGCAGTGGCGGCGGCGGCGGCGGCGGCGGGTCGCCTACGCAGCGCCGGTGGAGAGGGCCGCGTCGCAGCCAGGCCTGCCTCCGGACCGCCGGCAGTGCGGCTGGCGTCCGGTCCGGCCGACAGGCTGAAGTGGTTGGCACGCTGGATAGCCTCACGCAGCTGCCGGACGGAGGAGGTCGGTCAGGCATCGAGCCAACATGGCCAGCAGACCGCGGTGCAGACGGCGGAGGTCGGTCAGGCATCGGGCCAACACGGCCGGCAGAGCATGGGTGGGTCCGAGGTGCAGGGGGTCTGCTGGCAGCGCCGAGGGAGGGCCCACGTGCGGTCGACGAGGGGGGAGGGCGGGACTGCGTGCACAATACAAGAACGGATCTGTACTCACAAAGTCAGGGGATGCAGACAATCAAACGGGTTCCGACTATCGTAGTCAGAGAGAACCTGGGCGCAGGTGGTCAGAGCGGGACGTAGACAGGAGGTGAGGGGACTTAGATCTACGTCGGCTGGAGGTACGTAGTCCGACAAACGCCCTGAGGGACCCTGGATTTACGTAGAGGGGTTCCGACGACAAATCCGTAGTCGGGAGGGAGCGGGGGAAGGCAAAGCAGCAAGAGGAAGTCCAGAAAAGCTAACCTGCTGCACAGCCGACACCCTGTTCCTGCCAACGGGCATAGTCGGAGACCACTAGAACACGGCTAACGGATAGCAGGGAAAAGGGCAAGACGAAGTAAGGCAGGTAAGGAAAGTGGGCAGACAGAAGAGACATAACCGGACTCCGCAAACAGCAGAGACAGTCCAAGCTCTAACGGCTCCACCGCAGCTCGGCGGACCGCTCGACAGTGGCGCTCCCTGCCCGGGCCGCGTCGGCGCGCCGCCCCCGGCGAGTCTCACCTCTCTCAGCGCCACCACGCCGATCAGGCGGCCGATGGCCGTCACGTACGCGTGGTTCAGGCCCAGCATGGAGAACAGCGAGTGCACCTTGAGCAGCGAGGTGCGCTCCACCAGCTGAAACGGCGCCGGGTCTGCCGGCGGCGCGGGACCGGCGTCAGCGGCGGCGTCCACGGCGCCCCACACCGGCGCACGCTGGGGACGGCTGACGGTTGCAGGGAAATGGAGCGCTGGTGGCGGTGGCGGACAGATTGGAGACCGCTAACGGTTGCAGGGGAGTGGAGCGCTGGTGCCGGTGGTGGACAGACTGGTGGTGGACGTACTGGAGACCGCTAACGGTCGCAGGAGAGGGGAGCTCTGGTGGCGGTGGTGGACAGACTGGAGACCGCTGGCGGCTGCAGGGGAGTGGAGCGCTGGTGGCGGTGGTGGACAGACTGGAGACCGCTCACGGTTGCAGGAGAGGGGAGCGCTGGTGGCGGTGGTGGACAGACTGGAGACCGCTAACGGTTGCAGGAGAGGGGAGCACTGGTGGCGGTGGAGGACGGACTGGAGACGGCCGATGGTGGTGGCCAAGATTCGGGACTGGTGCGTGGCGGACAGAGGCCAGACTGGTGACGACGTCGGGAGGAGACTGAAGACAGGGGGAGACGAGAGACCACGACTAAGGACTGGTGACGGCGGCAGGCAGAGCATGGTACTGGTGACAACGGGCGACGGGTAAGACTGGCAGCAATAGAGAACGGGAAATGGTGGTAATGGTGGGCAGAGACTGAGGGATTAAAGCTGCGCGTCTGCGAAATCAGAAGGATGGCACCTCCGGTGCCATACAGCCACGCACGCGGGTTCGATTCCCCGCGGTGTCCGTCCTTCCTGCCCAGGTGAGAGGCAGGTGACACAGCACGCCCTCCGCAGCTGAATACGTCAAAAGGCCGCAATGAAACGCACTGACAGCATTGTGGGCTTAATCAGGACTGAGTATTGGCATGCATGTTGGAAAAGTAAAAGTTGCATTTAAAGTACACTCGTAGCCCGCAATTATCACCCTATATGCGTCTTATTTTCAGCGACTGATATTTTAAGTCGTACGCAGCACTTTTGAAAATTAGCATTCCATGATAGCCTCTCAGTTTACCGATTTTGCAGTCGTCAAAGTTCACTTCCTTGTCCAGTTCTTCCTCTTCCCACTTTTTCTGGTCTTCGTAAGACATGTCCATAACACGTGCAGTCGGCTGCGAATGAGACCGTCTTACATGTCAGTACAACAGCACAGGTCCCGCCTCCAACCAAACACACATTGCTCGTTGCTGGTGTGACCCATGTTCATCGCTGCTATGTACGAAAACGACCGTAACAAAATGATCTGACATCCGTGGCTCTGACACTTCACTACCGGCAGAAACGCTGTTCGGTTTTTTGTATGTGACCCCCACGACCCACAGCTGTGGCGTTGTTTTTCCTGGACTGGGCTGAGCCACACTGCTACAGGTGGTCAGCAGTTTTCCAGTCACAGCCACACATTTTGCAGTCACGGCCACGCACTGCGCCAACGAGGTGCACATGGGACAAGCTGGGACGCGCACGAACTCGGCGTGGTACAGTCGGCGCGCCCAGCCGGCCTGCACGGTCGTGGTGGGTTGCACTGTGTTGGTGTGACACACACGCTGGCGATCTCTTCGCCAATGCGGACTACAAGGATGCGGGAAATACACGACCATGGTAAAGAGGCAGACTGCGTGCACAACAGTACATACGTTTAAGCATGGCCGTATGCTTTGCAGCTTCAGAAAAACGTTCGATACATTGCGTGAATAAAGAGCAACGGTTAGAGGAGCGATAACGTGCAGACAAGAAATCGGCATACATCCAGGTTTGCAAAAAAGGCAAACAGAGCACAAGGTGGCATACATTCGGAATTGATGGGACAAACAGATGCACCGAAACAAAATGGCATGCAAGACAGGGGTTCATACTTTCTGGCACCTCATGTCGAATAATAAAGTGAACCGTCCGCAGCAGCTGAAATCAGAGGAGTAGTACGCATAAGCAATTCCTAATATCCTGTTCCACCGGCACGATGCTTTATTAACGCATCTTGCGTGCGGACGCAGCTATATCTGAAGACATTTCTAAGGCCCTAGGACAGTCCTGTGGAACACTAATAATGTTGACGTTGAGATTTAAACTCAAAAGCAGCTTAACTAACGCTACAGGAACATACACACCATAGAGCTGGACCGAATGCCTATCTGCTCTTATAGCGTACATATGAAGGCACCGCGCAATATCTGTCCGTGTAGCCAACTACACGCAGCATGTGGGTTTGCGCACTGGTTGAAAATAGCACACAGTTTCACCTCACTCAGCTTGCTGCACAGCGTCGAGGTGGCTTACACACATAATCCCTCACTAATTGGCGGCGCTATAGAAAGAGCAGTGGCGACAGCGCGATGCCTGAGCGATAACGGCCTTGGCTTTGCACGTAGACGATCCAAGCTTGAACCCCGGTGCGCCGGTGGGCCATCATCACCGGCACCGCAGAACAGGGTGGGCGACAACGTGCGCCTGGCTATCGTCAAAAGTCATCGTGCGCGCTACGATACGCTACCACCTGTGCGCTGCTTGCACGGTTGTAAGCATCATAACGTGGTGCCTTCAGTACGTGTAAGCTGATGCATAGCCCCACGTGTGACACTGGGCGTGCCTGGTTACAAGCGTACGCGAGCGTTCAGTCACGCACGGGCTCGTCTGTGCCTCAG